CAGATAGTAAGATAATAAATTTGAGTAGTTTTAAAACCACTAAGTTCGTGGTAATTTGTTATAGCAGCAATAGGATATTAATAATTTTAAACTCACAGAAAAGTTATGAAACTATAGATAATATCCTTTACTCATATTCACCTATTAATATTTTACTCTATTTGTTTTAGCATTTTTTTTGTCTTTTCTTTCTTTCTGAACCAGTTCAGAGTGTATTGTATATGTTATGGCCATTTACCCTAAATACTTTGATATATATTTCCTATGAAATCATTATTTCTAAAAACATAATAGCTACATAGTTATCAGCTTTAATAAATGTAGGTAGCATGGATACTTTTATCTATGTTTTGCCATCTATACCCTAATTGTGTCCACACAGCATTTTCCCCTCTGACACAGAACCCAGACTGGGACTAGGTATTGAATTTAGTTGTCATGTCTCTTAAGTCTCTCTGGATCTGGACCATTTCCACAGCCATTCTTTGTCTTTCTTGATACTGACTTTATTTATTTATTTTAGATAGAATGTTTCTTTAATAAATAATAAGTTTAAAAAAATAGAATGCTCATTTGAGGTCTGTCTGGTGTTTCCTTATGAGTAGACTGAGGTTATGCATTTCTGGCTAGAACATTGCATAAGTGATGATGTATCTTTCTCAGCACACCTCTTCTAGAGATGATGTCCTTTGTTAGTAATGTTAATTTTTACATCAGCCAGTCCAGGTGTGATTGATTTCTTCTATGTGTAGTTGCTATTATTTTTTCATACAACCAGTAGGCAGTCTGTTGAGAGACATTTAAGACTATGCAAAGATTCAGCTTCTCAACAAAATCTCCCTTTGGATTTAACATCCTTTGATGATTCTTTCCTGAACCAATCTTTGCTTTGATGGTTACAAACTTACGATTTTCTAACTTGTATATTGTCGTCATATTTACCAGTTACAATTCAGTGTTATACTGTAAGAAACAGTGTTCTCTTCTTCTCATCTATTATTGGTAAAGAGTTGTGCATTCCTATTTTTTTTAGTAGTTTATAAATTATTACTCTTCTTAATTATTTTAATGTGCAAATTCTTCCTTGTTTAACCAGTAGGGGGCCCTTCAAGCGGGTTTCTGTGTTGGTGACATGCCTTCCTTCCATACCCCACCACCATTACTCCTGTACTTTCTGGCATAATAAGCTGTTCCAGGCTTATCTTGTACTTCCCTGACCCAGCCCTGGACTTAGCCATTCCTCTAAGAACCCAGGTTCCATTTTGTGGGAAATGGTTTTAGAGACCAAAATGGTGCTAGGTGTACTCAAAATATTTACTGCTAGGACAGAGCTGGAAAATATATGTATGCCAAAAATAATAATATATATATATGTGTGTGTGTGTATACATATATATATATATATATATATATATATATATATATATTTGTGCATATACAGTGGTATATATGTGTGTGTGTGTGTGTATATATATATATATATATATATATATATATATTTGTGCAGTTATCCCTCAGTATCTAGCATTTGTCCCTCAGTAACCAGGATTGGTTCCACTACCCCCTGCAGATACCAGAATCCAAGAATGCTCAAGTCCCTTATATAAAATTAGAATTTGCATATAGTCCATATGCCTACAGGCTACAGTGGGGTGGGTCTACATATTACTTCATTTGTGTGGAGTCAGCCTAGTGCTTGGTGTGTGACAAATTGAAGTTTTGCTTTTTGGAACTTTCTGAAATCTTTCTTCCAAATGTTTTTGATCTGCAGTTGGTGGTTGAATCCACAGATATGACACTCACAGATACAGAGTGCCAAATGTATATATGTTAGAAGTCAAGAGTTCACAAAGATATCTTCGATTGCACTCCATCCCACAGCATTCTTTCTTTCCCTCCTGCATTCCATAATTTTTAAAATAGATTTTATTTATTTATTTTTACAGAGAGGGGAAGGGAGGGAGAGAAACATTGATGTGAGGGAGAAATATTGATAAGTTGCCTCTCGTATGTGCCCTGAGTGGGAATCCAGCCAATGACGTTTTGCTTTGTGGAATGGCGCTGAAGCAACTGAGCCATGCTGGTCAGGGTGCCCATTCCATATTTTTATGTTTCTCTTTATACAATTGCTGAATCCTATAATACATCTAAAAAAAACCCAACTGAGATATATAGTCAGATTTTGTGTTTTTAAGTTACTTGGATTAGTTCTTTTTTAAACCCCCTGTAGTATAGATTTGGTATTTATTTGAAATGCAGGTTGGTTAATTTTTAGTTTGCTTCCAACATTTTGTTTTTTTCCTCCTTCCCATCCTTGTTAATAATTTTATTTTGAATCTGTAGAGTATCAACATGCTTCCAAAAATCAAAACTGTAAAAAGGGCATATTCAGAAGAAGTGGAGCATGTTCCTGAGTCCCTTGTACCCTGTTCTCCTTATCCCTTGTAGGTAACCAACTTCATTGCTTTTTGGTTTATATGTCCTGTGTTCCTTTTAGTAAAGATAAATAGGTATGTGTATGTTTTCTTATTTTCCCTTCTTTTTTACACAGATAATAGCAAACTATATGCTCTTGTGCACTGTCCTTTTTTCACTTGCCATTATGCCCTGAAAAGTTCCTTTATATCAATTTACACATGTGTTTATATATAGTTTTCAGCCAATCTTCTGTACTTGGACGTTTAGATATTTTCCAGTAATGCTCCAGTCACTAACCTTGTGCATAGGTGTTTCATATTGTTGAAAATACATCCTCGGGATAAATTCCCAGAAGAGGGATTGCTCGGTGTATTAGACACTTGGGCTGCTATAACAGAATGCCACAGACTGAGTGGCTTAAACAACAGAGATCTTTTTTCTCACAGTTCTGGAGGCTTGAAGTCCAAGATCAAGATGCTGGCAGGGTTTTTTTCTGATGAGACCTGGCTTGCGGACATCTGCCTTTTTGTTGTGTCCTTACATGGTGTTTTCTCTGTGTGCTTATGCTCCTCTTTTTATAAGGACACTAGTCCTAGGCATGTGCCTTGACCAGGAATCTAACTCGTGACCTTTCATGTTGCGGAATGACATCCAGCCTATAGAGCCACACTAGCCAGGGTGGATTTCTGATCTTAGTTAAAAAGCCTTTGTCTATATTCAAGTTAAAGAGGAATTCATCTTGTTTTCTTTTTGTACTTGTATAGTTTCATTTTTTACATTTTAGTCTTTGATTTGGAGTTGATTCTTGTGTGCGGTGGAAAGAATAGATATAATTGTATTCTTTTTCGAAGGATCCGTCCAATTGCCCCAACATAATTTATTAAGAAAAACCATATTTGAGCCCTGGCTGGTGTAGCTCAGTGGATTGAGCGCAGGCCTGGGAACCACACGATTACGGTTCGATTCCCAGTCAGGGCACATGCCTAGGTTGCAGGTCAGTTCCTAGCAGGGGCCAGTTCCCAGCAGGGGACACATGAGAAGCAACCATACATTGATATTTCTCTTCTCTCTCCTTCCCTTCCCCTCTAAAGATAAATAAATTAATTAATTAAAAAAAAGAAAGAAAAACCATATTTGCCTAAGTAATTTCAGATACCAGTTTAATCATCTACAAAGATCTCTGTGTACATAGTGTTTTTAACATTATAGGTTGAAAGACCTTTGTCAAAGTCATCAAAAGGAAAGATCAACTGAGGGATGATCACTCTTTTTCTTTCCATTATCAGTATCCAAATATCCAATTTATTTCAGTAGATTTGTTTTCACTGTATTATTATTATTATTATTATTACTTTCAATTTGAGTGCACATTCACTATTATTTGGTATTAGTTTTGGGTAAACAGCACAGTAGTTAGACAGTTATATACTTTATAAGGTGTTCTCCCTCCCCAATATTTCAGGCTCCCACTTTGCACCATGCGTAGTTATTACAATATTATTGACTGCATTCCCTATGCTGTACTTTACATCCGTGTGACTATTTTGTGACTACGAGCTTGTACTTCTTAATCCCTCCACCTTTTTCACCCAGCCCTTCAACATACCCCACTTTGGCAACCGTCAGTCTGTTCTCTGTATGAATGTTTTTATTTTGTTTGTTCATTTATTTTACTTTTTAGATTCCATGTATAAGTGAAGTCATATGGTATTTGAAGAGATGAACACTCTTAAATTATTCTGTGAATAACTCTCAGCAGGTTGAATTCTAGGTAAAAACTTTCTTCAGGATTTCTTGGATACTCTTAAAAGAAAAGGCATGCATACACATGTTTATGTTTAACAGCTTTGTTGGGGTATAGTTTACATACCAAAAAACTACCCTGGCTGCGTAGTTCAGTCAGTTGGAGCATTGTCCTGGTACACCAAGGTTGTGGGTTTGATCGTTGGCATGTACTCTCTTTTTCCCTCTTCCTCTCTCTCTCACTTAAAAAAAAATCAGTAAATAAAAAAATTTAAAAATACACCTATCTTAAGTGTGCAATTCAGTTTTCAGTAAATTGACAGAGTTGTGCAGCCTTTGCCATAATCCAGTTTTAGAACATCTCTATCAATCAAAAAAGATTTATCCTGCCTGTTTGCAGTCCTCTCCTGGACCCCAAGTAACCATTAATCTTTCAGTCTCCATAGATTTGCCTTTTTTTTATCCATTTCACATAAATGAAATCATATAATGCATCATTTTTTGCATCTGGCTTTTTTTGCTTAGCTAATGTTTTTGAAGTTTATCTATATTGATACATGTATTAGTAGTTCATGACTCCATTTTGATTTAATGTCTGTATATAATATGAAGTAGGAATTTAACTTCATTCTTTTGCATTGTTTTGCAACTGATATTCAGTTGGCCCGGCATCATTTGTTGAAGAGAATCTTCTTTCTTCATTAAATTGTCTTGGCATCCTGGTTGAAAATCAGTTTCTTATATATAAATGTGTGGATTCATTTCTGAACTCTAAATGTTATTCCTACCATTTATTTTTGTATTGGCTGAGTTTCTTATTTTTCTCCCTTTGATAACAGGATCGTGGAGTTGATAGCAGTATTTTCCAGAATCCAAAAAAACTTCACCTAACGATTGGGATGTTGGTACTTTTGAGTGAGCAAGAGATCCAGCAGACATGTGAGATGCTAAAGCAGTGTAAAGAGGACTTCATTGAGTGAGTAATGCACAGGAGTGGGGAAGGGTGGGTGCCTGTACTGGTCTAGAGAACTGGGTGACATGGGAACAAGGTTGTTGACTCACCCATTTGTAACACTTCACACTGGACCATTGTCTGAAAGATTTAAAGTGGATTTAAAGCATATATTTATACATTTTTATGGAAAGCCTCTACCTTAACTTATACTAGTTCAGTGGGCAAATTTTGCTTTTAATAGGACGTGCCATTATTTCTCCAAAGGGAAATTCTCTTTATTATCTGTCAAAGAGTATAGGTTACTGTATTAGTTTTCTGTGTGTCTGTAACACATTACTACAAGGTTGGTGGCTTAAAATAATACAAATTTCATAGTTCTATGGGGCAAAAGTCTGATAGGGTTTTACTGTGCTAAAATCGAGGTATGGCAGGTTGTGTTCCTTTTCGGAGACTCTAGGGAAGAGAATCTGTTTCCTTGCCTCTCGGGTCCAGCTTCTAGGGGCCACACACATTCCTTGGTTAATGGTTTCCTTCCTTTGTATCAGCAGTTGCAACATCACGTCTCTCTGACCTTTTTTCTGTTGTCACATCTCTCTCTAGCCACAGCAGGGAAAGGTTCTCTGCTTTTAAGGACTCCCTTTGATTTGAGTCCACCCAGATAATTCAGGATAATCTCTCCATTTCAAACTGATAACCTAAATCACATCTGCAAAAGTCTCTGCCATGCCAGGTAGTGTGTTTACAGATTCCAGACAGTGGAATGTGGGCATCTTTGGAGAGCCATTATTCTGCTTACTGCACTAGCTCAACACTATAACATGCTCCTCTAAGAAAGTCTTCAGGTATCTCAGAAATGCAGGCTTTCACTTTCTTTTTTTATTATTACAGGTGATTTCGTGTGAGTCATAGTGAGGATACCAAAAACTACCCAAGCAAATGTTTTGACTCAGAGAAAGCATTGTTGTTCTAGGTCCTGAGTTGTCATTCTTTTTACTGTAAAATTTTAATTTACACATACATCTGACCTAACAGAATTTTTAAAAAAGATTTATTTATTTATTTTTAGAGAGGGGAAGGGAGGGAGATAGAGACGGAGAGAAATCTCATTGTGTGGTTGCTTCTCACACACCCCCTACTGGAGACTTGGCCCGCAATGCAGGCATGTGCCCTGACTAGGAATTGAACCAGCGACCCTTTGGTTCACAGGCCAGCACTTAAGCCACTGAGCCATATCAGCCAGGGCACTAACAGATTTATTTTAAAGAAGCATCTCTTCCTCCCTTTCACTTTACTCCTTTTACTTAGAATTGATGAAGAATAAGAAAATTTGAAGACTGAGTCACTTGAATAGTTTTGTTTTTTAAAAAATCTATGAATACTATTCAGGTCCCATACTGTTGTATCATTGCCTTGTAGAAATGGATTTTCTGGTTCATTGGGTAAAACAACATAAAAGGAATAAAAATTTTTCTCTAGTTATGTTGTATATGAAACTGTAATACAGTGACTCACTTGTGGGCTACTTCTTTCCATTAATTGTTTTGAAGACAAAATATTTTTCTTTTCCTTTTTTTTTAAGATTTTATTTTATTTGTTTATCTTTAGAAGGGAAGGGAAGGAGAGTGGTAGAGAAACATCAATGTATGGTTGCCTCTCATGCATCTCCTGCTGGGAACTGGCCTGCAACCCAGGCATGTGCCCTGGCTGGGAATCAAACCTCAATCCTCTGGTTTGCAGTCCCACACTCAGTCCACTGAGCTACACCAGCCAGGGTGCGAAGACAAAATATTTTTCTTGAGCAAAATCATAAGCTGATTTGGTTTGTAGTCTGCCTGTTCTTTGTGAACCTCAAACAGCAAAGAATACTTCTTTCTCTCATTTGTTCAGTAATGAATATAACTGTTCTCTCACGATCTTACCTGAAATACAAAATAATTTGGTGTTTTTTGTTAGATATGTACAATTTTCCTTGCATAAAAGAAAACTTGATATTTTACCTTACAAAGCAGAGCAATTTAGAATGAGTTCTGACACTTTAAATTATACCCAGGTCACTTTTTGCTAAACGAAAGTGAAAGCTGCTACATTTTCTTGACTGCCATTGGGATAATCCTGCTTAAAATTTTTTAGGGTAGATAAAAAATTTGTTCAGAGAAATATTTGTGTGTGTTTTTTTTTTACCTTATGAAAAAGCACTTCACCATGTGAGGACACAGTGAGAATGTAGCCATCTGCAATCCACAAAGAGAGTTCTCAGGAGAAATCAAATCAGCAGAACCTTTATCTTGACTTCCCAGCCTCCATATCTGGGAATAAATGTCTGTTGTTTCAGCCTCCAAGTGTATGGTATTTTGATGACCAACTGAGCAGGTTAAGATGCTGTAGCAGCAGTGTTTTCCTCACTGAACCAATATCTTGCTTTTTACCTATTGTTCCTGACTATGTAGCCATGAATCTGAGTTTTTCAGAATCCTGACATTCCATAAGAATCTCATTAAATATACTGTTATAAAGTGAATTTTCTTCTTAAATAAAAAAAAATCAGGTCACAGGTTTTTAGTCATTGAGGGTTTATCCAGAGCTATGTGAGGATTTAGCTGAGTTCCTCTCTTTTATGTCTCTTGGTGCCTTTTGTGTCTAAATGCCAATCAGGGTCCTTTAAGCATGTTGGGGTTGCTGTGCATAGGTAATGAGGAGCAGCCTTAATGGTTCCTAAGAATTTTTGACATGACAGGATGAAAACAGTTATTGTAGTTTTTAAAGTTCAGCAAAGCTTTTGAAATAGGACAAAGTTACCCTGCCAAAAATCTGCAATGCAGGCAAAAAATCTATTGAATATGCTCTTTTCAAGAAGCTGGTAAGATTTGAAACCAGCAAATAAAACAAACCTCTCTACTCCTCCTCTCCTACCTTCCTTTCTGCCACACACACTGTTTAAGAAGTATACAATGCAAAATTAATTTATTCCTGAGAAGAACAAGAATCAGAATTGGTTGGTTGATTAGAAATGCTTTGTTTTACTAAAAGGAAGAATTCTCTTCTTAAAAAAAATACTTATATTACAGCTCTGGTGAGTAAAATGCATCATCTAACTTTTTTCTTTATCCTTGATCTTTGACGTCAGCCTTTATACTTCAATAAACAATGGTATTTCTAACCTGAACTTTTTATGATGTAAATATCTTCAATTAAAATATAAAAATGAAAGCATTGAAAATTAATAGACCATTGTATAATGTACTATAGTTTACTTTGATGGCTTTTAAATTTTAAATATTAAATTTGGCTTTATTGGAATTTAATTAAAAATGTGGTGCTACATAGGTATTTTAAAGAAATGGATGGTCAAATATTTGTTTTAAATTGGGAGGTAGTTTTTGAGTGTAAGGATGTTGCCTGATGAGAAATAGAACTTTGATTTCAATTCTTAGGCTAAAGACTAGTGTAGCTGTGAAGAATTATTCACAGCGAATTTTTCAAGTGTTCTGCAAATGCTGATGCCCTCAATGTGTCCCTGGTGACCTTTCTTTGTGAGATGTGGACCACAAGCAGTGCGATGCCTCTGAGTGTCACTTCTGTAGCTCCAGTATCACTCTGCTTGTGCCTGAGTGTTCCCAGTAGGCCTGAGGTTAAACCGAGTACGTTAAGAAGGGACAAGAAGGAAGAGAGTAAAGGAGGAAAAATACCCATGGATAACTGTTGGTTCTTAATTATTGCCTCAGATGTCACCGAATTGAGAAATATCCTCACTGGTGTTCCAGATGCAAGAAATAGTTTGGAGCCCTGGCTGGTGTAGCTCAGTGGATTGAGCGCGGGCCTGCGAACCACACGATCGCGGTTCGGTTCCCAGTCAGGGCACATGCCTGGGTTGCAGGCAGGTTCCCTGCAGGCCGGTTCCCAGCAGGGGATGCACGAGGGGCAGCCGTGGATTGGTGTTTCTCTCCCTCTCTCCTTCCCCCTTCCCCTCTGAAGATAAATAAATAAAATCTTAAAAAAAAAAATAGTTTGGTCACCAAGCGAGGGCATCTGTCAGGCAAACCATTGGATTTCTGTCCTGTTCTTCAATCTCCCTCTTGATAAATCCCAGGGATAGGTTGAAAAGTTTCTGTTTCTACTCATAAGGCAGGCTATGGATCCTGTTCATTATTTCATCTTTTTGTTGTTTGTACTCCATCTAATTCCAAGGATTTGAGGTAGTTTATTATAGTGTGGATGTATATACAAAAGAAATGTTAAAGTTAGAGAGCTCAGAAACCATAAAGGTGGAATGGGGAAAAGTTCTACCTGAAAACCAAGGTAAGAAAATTTAGTAGTTTCGAGGACCATTATACTTGAACTAAATTCCAAAAAGAAATGCATCAATTATTATAGTTGCTACCTGATAAAAATGAACATAACGTTTTAGGAGAGAATCTTTTTCTGGTTCTTAATTCAAGAAAAACTGCTTACGTAAATCTTAATGTAAATAAACCAGAATGATCATAAGCAGTATCTTCAGTTGTTTTGCAGAAGATACAAAAACATTCTTCACGTTGCTTCTACAGGTAACTTCTAGGGGTAAGCAAGGATATAACATTAAATATCAACCCAGTAAAAACATTTTAGTGGGAAGAGAAACTAATGGTATGGTGCTTTCTGGTGCTCTAACTGTGCAGTGTTAAAGCTGAAAAATGTAGAGGAATGTATGGTTAGTATTAAGTTGTTCTTTAAAAAAATGTTTTATTGACTGCACTTTGATGGGATTGAATGGCAGTCTTTCATATTGAATTCTTTGGCTATTACTTGAAATGGAGATACACTGTATTGTTGATTGAAGCTAAAGGCCTCAGAGCTTGGCTTGAGTTTTTGTAATAACCACTTATTAGAGGTAGTTACAGGATACTTATAATCAAGGCTGTAATTTTTCTTTTTAAAATATTTGCCTGAAGTAGTTCAGTTGTTTAGTTTCTTACTGAGAAAAATTCTGGTCTTGTGCAATCGTATGGTCTTGAAGTTTTAAAGGAATCTTTACCATTACAATTTCCAGGCTATAAAGAGTCTTTTATGGCTTTAGGTCAATATCAAGAGAACTTTTTTGTTTTGCCTTTTTGGAATTGTCTTTTGGTGGATTCTAGCATCTTTTTGTCTTTGAGCCAGTCTCATATTTTATTCAATAACAATATAATGTATGTCCACGTTCTTCTCAAAATTGTTCAGAACAGCTTCTCCCTTTATAGTAGAACACCCAATCAATGTTTACCAGAGATTTATGGAGTACCAATTTTATATAAGGCACTGTGCCAGGTTCCAGGGATGTAGAAGTGGACAGGATGGATAGAGTCCCTGGCTCGGAGTTGTGGGGCTTGGAGAAGGCCGTGTGGTCAGCTGATTTTTAGCTGGGTTTCAGCCTGGCACAGCAAAACCTTTTCTGGTTGAAGTTGGTATAATCCTACTGATGGGGTCTGTGAAGAAAGCAGGATGGTGGGTTTTACTTAACATGAAAGTAATATATGTTAGTTTTAAAAAAGCCAAAAATTTCAGATAAACAAAAGTGTCACTTGTAGCCTTACCAGCTAAAGATAATTACTATGAATGCTTTAGAGTATATATTCCCATACTTTTTTATATATGCATATATGTATTTTTCTTTGAAGTATAAGTTACTTCAAGTAAAATGCACAGATATTAAGTGTAGTTGGTGAGTTAAGACAAATGTATACACCCATGTAACCACACCCAGATGAAGATGTAGAACATCGCCATCACCTTATGAAGTTCTTTTATGTTCATTCTTTTCAGTTCCTCCTCCTCCTCCATTCGAGGAGGAACTGTCATTCTGATTTCTAGTACCATAGATTAATCTTGCTGTTCTTTAATGTCATATATATATTGAATCATTTGGCATATATACTTTTTGCGTTTGGCTTCTTTTTTATATTTTGGAGAATTACAACCTTTTAATAGGCAATACATTTACGGTGGTTATAATTTTAAAGGCACAAAGGATATGCATTGAAGAGTTTTCTTCCCACTGCTATCCCACCAGGCACCCTGCTGTCTTCTCTAAAGGCAACAAATGTAGTGTCTTTGTATCCTTCCAGAGATTTTATGTATGTACAAAAAATTGTGTGTATATATATATATTCTTATTACCCCCATTTTTGCATAAATAGTAGTGTAGCATGCACATTGTTGTATACTTTTTTTAAACTTAAAAAGATAATCATTATTTATCAGCACCTGAAAAGCATTCTTAGTCATGAATGGCTTGTTTATTGCCCATAGTATTTTGATTTATTTAATCAGTCCTATGTTATTGGGCATTTAGTCTGTTCCAGTCTTTTGCTACTCCAAACAATGTGTCAGTCAAAACCCTATTGCATCTTATCAGGAGACACATGTTTGGTTGTTTCTTTTTTGTGTATGCGATAAGCTTGTTCAGTGAATTTGGGAGTGGTGCCTGATCCACTGTTTATAGAGCTCTGTTTTAGAAGGATCGCTATATTTTCTCCAACCTTTTGTCTAAGTTTTAGTGGCCATTGATGATTTTGCTAAAATCCATTATTTTATCAGGAGTTGCAAAATGGTGATATGGTAATATTCTAAGTCTGTCATTACTTCTTCATTTATCAGTAGGAATTCTTCTGTAAAAAACTATCCTTTATCTGCTATCATTGCATATGTAGCTGAATTCATAATTATTCCTTAGGGTTGACTCATAAACTGAATTGTTTGCACACAGGGTTTTTTTCTTCTTGATGGCTTTTTATAAATACTGCCAAATTGCTTTTAAAGAGGTGATATTAGCTTACAGCTCCATCATTGTTATATGAGTGAAATACTGTTTGCAGAAATGATAACACTAACTTTAGTTGAATTTTGATAATTCACTACCATCAGACCAGCCTGAAAGAATGATGTAAAACCTCAGAGGTGGGCAACAAAGTAAATGTCTTTGTCAATCAGAACTGTTATTGTTTGACTTTTTCTTAGAGCATGCTAGTGTGTCTTCAGAAATATTAGTGTTTCTAGTTTATATATATTAAACATGTATGAATTTTGAAATTAGAAGGATAGTTAATATTGTTAGTAAAAACCCCAACAACTTCATTTTTGTAAAGTTTCACTATGTATATTAACCATGATTCAAAATATATTATTATAGCCCCCTTAGCTTAAATAATTATAAAAATCTAATGATTTTTCCTTTGCAGTGATATTTCTGGGGGCAAACCCCTGGAAGTAGAGATGGAAGGGATAGAATACATGAATGATGATCCAGGCATGGTGGATGTTCTTTATGCCAAAGTTCATATGAAAGATGGCTCCAACAGGTATGTTTCTGGAATACTTTGCTTCAGTCAAGAGGTGCCTGAAAGTATCCCTGGAAATTCAGTTAGTTTTGATTCCTTTTCTTTCAGATCTTATTATTGCAAAGAGTGTGTCAATTCTGACTTTCTTTTTTTAAAATGGTAACCTGATATTTAAAAAAAAGAATTTGTTGTAGAGAAAGTATTTTAGTCTGATAATTACTAAGTTACTTGGACAATTGATATTGATAGTAGCAGTCTAGTTGTATGGAACTCAGTGTTTCCTTCATGTTTTTCTAGGATAATAGAAGACAGGAAGGGTGGGTAGCATTTTAGGGTGTCAGTTATAGTTACAAAAGTGAACTAGTGCAGATCTAGTGACTTCCTGGACAAAGTGGTGATAACCATATCAATATCATAAGACTATTAGGATTGAGTTCATCTATATAAATGCTTCAGAACAGTGCTTGGCATTTACTAACTCATCAAAACGTACATCAAAAAAAAAAAGTTCACTCCTGTTTATTACCATGCCTAGATTCCTTTTAGGGACCTCAGTCTGCAGTCCTGGCTATTTCCGAGGCTATCCTAGGCATCCAGAGCCATTTCTGATGTTAATGCCATTTTCAGTGTTACGACCTTTGTTGAGCAGAGGAACCCAACTTGAATTAGAAGTTTGTTTTTGTGTGATTTTTTCATTAGGGAAGGATAGAACAGAGCTCACACTGAACCAGAAACTGTCTAGAGAAAACCTTTGTCTCCAGGCAGGGCACCAACTTGATTTGCTTTCCTAGAGGATTGCTTGTAATATTTCTTTTACCACATTTTGAATTGATAATCTCAATTATCTTGGGTCTCAGTTCAATTGGGAGTGAATTTTGAGAGGAAGGGAGAAAAAATGGTATAGAATCATTTTTGTGTGTGTGTCCTGGACTGTTGGGCATGTGCCTGAAGGGCATACCAGTGGCTCTGGGAGGTCTTGTCCTAGGGCATTTCACACATTTCTACCAGGTTCAGATTTGGTACCTCTATGGATTATTTCCTTTGTGTTTTAAGTCATAGCTTTTCAACCTTTACTATGTTGTGAAACTACTGTGCATGGGAGATATTACTTTTGAACTTTGTGAGCAGAAACAAGGGATAAGATAGCAGTTCTCAGACTTTTTAGTTTCATAAATCTCTTTTGTTTCTTAAGAAGTATTGAATGGCCGGAAGAACTTTTCTTTATATAGGTTATATAAATATTTATTTTATTAAAATTAAAACTGAGAAATTTAAGATTTGTTAATTCATTAACATAAGTAGTACTAATTTCTTTTTAGTATAAATAACATTTTTCATAAAAATTACTCAATTTTCCAAACCAAATATTTTAGTGAAATGATAGACATTGTTCATTTATATTTATATTTTATTGATTATGCTTTTACAGTTGTCCCATTCTCCCTTTCATTCCCCTCTACCCAGCTCACCCACTCCCACCCACATTCTCCCTCTTTAGTTCATGTCCATGTGTCATAAGTTCTTCAGCTTCTACATTTCCCACACTACTCTTGCCCTCCCTCTATTTTCTCCCCACCATCTATGCTACTTATTCTTTGTACCTTTTCCCCTTCTCTCCTCCTCCCACTCCCCCGTTGCTAACCCTCCATCTGATCTCCATTTCTGTGGCTCTGTTCCTGTTCTAGTTGTTTGCTTAGTTTGCTTTTGTTTTCAGTGTGGTTGTTAATAACTGTGAGTTTGCTGTCTTTTTACTGTTCATGTTTTTTATCTTCTTTTTCTTAGATAAGTCCCTTTAACATTTCATATAGTAAGGGCTTGGTGATCATAAACTCCTGGAACTTGACCTTATCTGAGAAGCACTGTATGTGTGCTTCTCATTCTAAATGAGAATTTTGCTGGATAGCACAATCTTGGATGTAGGTCCTTGCTTGCCTTTCATGACTTGGAATACTTCTTTCCAGCCCCTTCTTGCCTGTAAGGTCTCTTTTGACAAATCAGCTAACAGTCTGATGGGAACTCCTTTGGAGGTGACTGTCCCCTTATCTCTTGCTGCTTCTAGGATTCTCTCCTTTATTTTAATCTTGGCTAATGTAATTATGGTGTGCCTTGATGTGTTCCTCCTTGGGTCCACCTTCTTTGGGATTCTCTGAGCTTCCTGGATTTCCTGCAAGTCTATTTCCTTTGCCAGATTGGGGAAATTCTCCTTTATTATTTGTTCAAATAACTTTTCCACTTGTTGCTCTTCCTCTTCCCCTTCTGGTACCCCTATAATTTGGATGTTGGAACGTTTAAAGATGTCCTGGAGGCTCCTAAGTCTCTCCTCATTTTTTTGAATTCTTCTTTCTTTTCTGTTTGATTGTTTCTTTCTTCCTTCTGATCCACTCCATTGATTTGAGTCCCAGTTTTCTTCCCATCACTATTGGTTTCCTGTGCATTTTGCTTCATTTCACTTAGTGTAGCCTTAATTTTTTCATCTAATTTGTGACCAAAATCAACCAGTTCTGTGTGCATCCTGATCACCAGTGTTTTGAACTGCGCATCTGATAGGTTGGCTATCTCTTGGTTGCTTAAAAGTATTGGCTATGGGGCTTTCCTTTGTTCTTCTGGTTGAGCCATTTTTGGTCAGGTCTGTTGTTTTATATTTTTTCATATTTCTTCAATAGAAGACAGCTGAGTTTTATCTGCTTCTCTGTTCAATCTATTGCAATACACTCTTTTGATTAGATCATATAAGAAATAAGAAATGTATTTGGAAAATTGAGGAGTACTTTAATGGCTTTTTAGAAAATTGTGGATATTTGATAGTTCAGCAAAACTTGAAAGTCACAGTTTTTTAAAGGTCAGTTGTAGTGTGAAATCTGAATATATTAAAGTATATTTCACTGTTACATAAAATCCATTGATCTATCTTGTACTTTACCTGGATTTTTAAAAATATATATATTTTTATTTTATTGATTATGCCATTACATTTGTTCTATTCCCCCCCTTTAGTTCATGTCCATGTGTCTCAAGTTCTTTAGATTCTATATTTCCCTTACTATTCTTACCCTCCCCCCTATCTATTTTCTATCTACTGTCTATGCTACTTATTTTCTGTACCTTCTCCCCCCTTCTCCTTCTCCCACTCCCCTGTTGCTAACCCTCCACGTGATCTTCATTTCTCTGGTTCATTCCTGATCTAGCTGTCCTCTTAATTTGCTTTTGTTTTAGGTGTGGTTCTTAATAACTGTGAGTTTCCTGTCCTTTCACTGTTCATCTTTTTTATCTTCTTTTTCTTAGGTAAATCCCTTTAACATTTCATATAATAAGGGCTTGGTGGTGATGAACTCCTTGAATTTGATCTTATCTGAGAAGCACTTTATCTGTCCTTCCATTCTAAATGAAAGCTTTGCTGGATAGAGCAATCTTTGATGTAGGTCTTTGGATTTTATGACTTGGAATACTTCTTTCCAGCCCCTTCTTGCCTGTAAGGTCTCTTTTGAGAAATTAGCTGACAGTCTGATGGGAACTCCTTTGTGGGTGACTGTCCCCTTATCTCTTGGGGTGAAATTCATATAATATAAAATTCACCATTTTAACCATTTTAAAGTGTACAATTCAGTGTGTCAATGTAAGAACACTGAAATCTGTAGAGAATTTTTGTAAGAGTTTGTTTAATCCAATCTGGTGATATATGCCAGGGAGCAAGATCTCAAAGGGTCCAGAGAGAGTAACAGTTTTGCTTCTTTTATGCATTTGAAATTAAGGAAGGAGGGGATGTTAGGAAGATTGGAGGTGGCGGGGGGGGGGGGGAGATATTGGATTACAGGACAGTTAACATGATTGTGTACTCTCTTGAGAGTTAATATCACCTTGGAGGAGTATTCCAGTGTTTCAAAGGTGTGTTAACCTAGATGGGCAAGAACAATGGACAAGGCTGGCTTCAAACTTTTCACTAAAGAAGTTACGGGCCTGGGGCATGACTATGTGCCAGGACCTGCCTCGTTAGGAATTTATGATCAGATCAACCTGTGAGAGTACTTCCCATAAACTCCTCTGCTCCCTGCCCTGTCCATACTGGCAACCCCTAAACTACTGACTATAGATTTGCCTATTCTGGATACTTCCTAAGAATGGAGCCATAAATATACGGCATTTTCTGTCTGGCTTCTTTCATTCACATGACGTTTTCAGGATTATCCACGGTGTTTCATTTCTTTTTATGGCTGAGTAATATTTCATTGTATGGAAATACTACATTTTGCTTATTTATTCATAGTTGATGGACATTTGGGTTGTTTCTACCTTTTGGCCATTGTGAATAGAGCTGTTTTCAATTCTTTTGGGCTGACTCACTTTTTAAATAATTGAAGTTGGGGTTTTAATTTCTTTGATTAACCTTGTAACTTTATAGGGCATTGTAGCCACTCAGCCTAACCTCTCTTTTTTTTTTTTTTTTTAATTTTATTTATTTATTTTAGAAGGGAAGGGAAGGGAAGGAGAAAGTATAGTGTATGGTTTTGGTGCATCCCCTGGGGGGGGGTGTGGAGGGGCGAATCGGTGCGGCTGAGTCACCTGGGGACCTCTCTTAATTTGTTTCCTTTTCCTCTGTTATTGGATTTACTTAGTTTTTGTCAGTACTAGTGTAACCTTTACTATTGTAAGACTAATATCTGTGATAGTCTTACATGCAGTTAGTGTGAAGCTATGTGAAAAATTTACATGGGGTTACAGTGTTTCATGAGATAAAATAGTATTTACTAATTTAGAGCTTCGAGTCTGTTTTAATATACATAAGTCATAAACTCTACAGCTTTGATTTTCTCTATTCTTGGTGGCCCCCAGAGGGAAAAAGTGTTCACTGAGAAAACATGATAAAATCCTTGCCCTGAGTGTTTTTAGCTGGATATGTTTACCCTTTGCTTTTAATGATTAGAATCTTAGTTCTATAGAAGGTCTTCAAGTATAGAGAATTAATAGGTTTTTGAAATTTGTTAACCTAAAAATAAATATGAGAAGGCGAAATGAGAGGCAACAAG